ACACACACACACACACACACACACACACACACAGCGTGGATATGTGGCCGGGAAAGATGACAAAGCTGTTGACATTTTAGGAGAGCGAGATGCATGTTCATTAGAAATTACCTACTTTCAAATTACATTACATATAAAGTATAAAGGGGTAGACGTGTGAAGTAAAGTGTGGTTTGATAAATGCACTATGGTGGGCAATGAGCACTACTTAATTTTCAGAGTATCTATTTCTATACATATTTATGAATGATTGCACTGTGTCCATTAGCCACCAGTGACTGTAAACAAATGACAGCTATTGATTGTGAAGTACACATGTAAACATTTAAATATTAATTACAATTTGCCTGTAAAGTAATCTGGAAAACCAGAAGATGTACACAAGTTGCTGTTAACTCAAAATGCCAAAAAATTGAATATCAAATATAAGACTAACTTTACCAAGGATTGGCCATTTCAAAAGTGGGAAAGCCTGTTTGTTACATTAAATTAGTCCAAGCACTGTTAATGATTTCTGAGTCTAAACATTACCTGCCCCTTGTTGCCAAGTAAAACTATATTTTCAAAGTCACTGGGAAAATTCATAAATGAACAAAATCAATCTTGGGATTTTGCGAATCAGTATATTATAACAGTTAATCATGAAATTGTTTTTTTCCCTACCCCTAGTGCACTACACATCTTAATTATTTTTGAACTTGTTGCTGTTTAATGAGCTCATTGTTTTTCCCTAAAATTGTGGTCCAAGATATGCGTGCACTGAAGTATTAATTTTGCCAATGCCTGACCTACACAAGAAAGGAATAGTATGATCTAGTATATCAGTGCCTGGTGGTGTTGATCACATTTTTATTTATCGATGGTAAGTTACATTACTTGTGAAGATTAGCCACAATTAAGTAATTATTATGGAATTCTAATGGTTTTACTTTTACATGCTACTTACCTGACCTACTGAAATACTGTTTTGCTGAACACAGTTTTATATAATTGTTCCTAGTCCTTTAGGTGAGTCAAGGTAGCTTTTTTTCCATTATTATCTCATATACATATACTCAGCAAAAAAAGAAACGTCCCTTTTTCAGGACTGTGTATTTCAACAATAATGTTGTAAAAATCCAATTAACT